TTCATAACAGGGAGGAGTGGTCAGTGACCCGTCGTAGACAAAGAATGGCTTTAACCGGGAGGGCAACAGTGACCTCAGCGTAAATGATTGCAATATAAGTGCTTTGTCTTTATATTTGGGAACACTTTTCACTAATGACATGACTGTCGACATAAACCGATTGTTTCGCGAAGAGATCTATCAATCAATTGAATGGAGTCATTGTTTCTCACAATTCATACATCAAACAAATGGTTTAATTGTTTTCAGGTATCTATTACTTTATAGAGCGCACCCAAAACCATAAGTCCATCTGATTTATCAGCCGCCTCGTCAAAACTGGAATACTTTCTATTGTAATGAACTAGATGAATTTCCAATGGACCCCTATAGCCATCGATTGTGTGTTCAGAACCGACACCATTATAACTGCCCCAATGGAAATGCAATTGGTTGAATATATAGGGCTTGAAATTAGATGCCGACCCGTAAACAGTTATTATAAATTTATCGCTAAAACCAATTTGTACTAAAAGTGGAAATTATTTTAGAAGTCTTTTCTCAGACAATTGACAATATATTCTGATACCATTGCTTCCCACATAAAGTACTGTATTGTATGGAAGTAGTGATCAGTCCTACCTGTGTGTCCATTATTCTCGATGTACGCCAATTTAATAGGTTTGCGGTAATTGCGCAAATTTATATGCAGTTCCTCTCCCGTGGCATCGGACGAGATTAGTCTAATGGGGGACTGTTGTTGACCCCCACATTTCTTATAGCCGTGCTGGGGCCAGTTGGTGCCTATAGTTATATAATATACAGTTCATGCTAACTTATTTATTAAGGTATTGATTGATTCTTATCAGGGTAAATTTATACAGAAAGTAGAGTAATTGTAATAAAATTCAAATAAATTTATATTGTGTAAATATCAAGAATATTCTATATTTTAAAAATACTATAGACTAATTTGTAAATGTTTTAGTGATATGGTTAGACAAGTGACATACCGTAGTGCCAGTGTCCATGAGGTGACAGTTTTTTGCTTATAGTGCTATCGGAAGATAACTTGTTATTGGAACTTGCTAATTTGTTTTGTGTCAGCACTCTATCGCATAAATTATTGAATAAAAATATGAAACAAAATATATATGTGAACAATATTCGACCAAAACGTATATCCA